GTTATAAGTCAAAAAATTTGCACCTTTTGAGGTTTGTATGAAAAAACCAGAGCATTTTTTCTTAATTTTTAATTTAATCAAGTTAACAGTTTATATTATTCAAAACAAGAAGAAAATAATAATGCAGACCTTAAGTCCGGAATCGTATTCTAAACCAAATACGGTATAACACTCAGTTGTGGAAGCGTTTACCCGAAACTATTATGACCTGGCAGCCGAGTCTATAATCCCGTTAAAAAATAATAAAACCGATAAAAAACACAATATATTTTTACCGCTATATTACGGTGGTTATAATTTTTAAAAAAAATGTTCGGACCATTAGCGATGGCGTGCACAGGGTAGAAAGTTGAGGGGCTCATTGAGTTAAAACACAACAACTTTTTTATTCGGTAAATTAATCTCGAAACGTATAGTACCTATTCATTTCAACCGAGTCACAAGAAAAAGCTTCATGTATTGAATAGATATTGGCTTTTTGGAATTGAGATTTTTAATTCCCATTGTAGAGTTGAGTAGTTAAACTTACGATATGAAAAGAGATTCTACGATTTATGTGCGGTTATGATTGTTAACCATATGCATAATATCCCGTTGAAGATTTCTACGTGGCAGCACGCAGTACTGTCCACAGGGCACTGAAACAGTCTGCAACTATAGATGCCAAGTTAACATTATAATGTTTCTGATGGCTTTTCGGTTAGTATAAAGTACCGGTAGGACGGGTTGATTAGCATAATATTTTGTGGTTTTGGTCGAGGTTCACCGCCCAATAATATATTTTGACCTAAAAATCACAATTTATATTTCACCGTTAAACCGGGACGGATAAAAAAAAAAGGTATATTGTAATTGTATAAATTGTAAATGTATATTGTGTATTGTATTATAATGTACAATGAAATATAATAACCGCCATATCGTCGTCCTAAAGAAAATAAAAAACACGAAAAAAATCAAACCGAAACAAATAACATTAACAATATATTCAGCAGCCGCTTTGACGATTGCAAAATTATACATACATGACCCACTCAAATCTGTCGTTCGTTTTTGTTTTAATACCTACGCATCATAATTTTTTCCAACCAATTTATTTGGGGTACTTAGACGCGGTTTCAATATATCACTGCGGTGTCGTCAACATGCATTTCGAGTGTTTTTTTCTTTTTTACAAACTCCCACCACGTTGCGCTGATTATTGAAATATCGGCGAGCCATTACGGGTACATTTTCACTGTCATAAACAGTACCTATATAAATATAATACAGTTTTATTAAATATACAGATTTATAGAAATTCCGGTTTTTCGGAAATCGAAGCCGTACACAACACTATTGCAATCAACGAGTCGTTAATAATTTATTATTATTATTAATAGCATAAATGCGAAAGTTTGTTTGCATGGATATTGTTACCCCTTCAGGCCAAAATTATTGAATGGACTGAGCTCAAATTTTGTATGGGTTGCAGTTCTAGACCAGGAATAATATATAGGTTACTTCACTACCTGCTTTCGTGTTCAACACAATTGCTGATGCAATGGCGGCTTTTAAGGGGCGAGCGATGCGGACGATCGCCCCCTGGAACTTTATTTTTTTTTTTCAACTGTTAGGTATGTTCTGTACGGAAGAAACGATAGACCATTGCTAACAAAAAAATTATTCTGAGTGGAGTTTAGTTGATAGTGATGCTTTGTCAACAATTTATGTCATATTGGGGTCAAATAAGTTCTTTCATAATAATTATTTAATATTGTACCGATATTCCCATTTTTTCCATATTTTTTCCCAGTTCCAGAAAAAATCGAAAAAATGACTTCTTTGATGTACCTCTCCAAAAAAATTTGCGAAAAGTTGCTACATGCTACATCGGGGCAAGATCTATGGTATAAAAGTTGTCCACAAATAAAACAGTTGTAAAACCATAAGATTCTTCGCTCCACTCAGAATCTAAAATGAAAATAATGTGTAATTTATGATAGGACCATAAATAAATTGTATCTTTTTTTTGATACATGTTATTATGGTATGGGGTCCAACAAATTTGAAATCGCCCCCCCGCTTGATGTTTTATTAAAACCGCCACTATGCTGATGCAGTGTTATTGGTAGTTTTGGTACAAAAATCTCATTATATTTTTGTTGATTTATGGGTTACCTTGGAAATATGGATGAAAAAAAAACCAGTTATTATTGTTTAATTTAGTTTTCGAGGGGAAAGAAGCACCCTTAAAAAAATTAAAAATGACCGAGGAAATACGGTTCACCATGATGGGTACGGGTTGGAAACGGGGAATTGCAGGGAAACGCGTTTTAATTTTTTTCGTTCAATACTGACACGGGCAAAGCAGTGCGGAACAGCTAGTAATGTATAACCAAAGGCGGCCAATTATTAAATCGATTAATTTATGTTAAACAAACAAAAAAAAGGCCTTTAATTAAAAGTTAATACAATTTTTTTTCTATAGATTACCTTTTAAATTCTGAGGAACATACTTCTTGATTAATAAAATTGCTACGATTTTTTTCCGCCATACCCATAAAGAAAAAGAAAACACAAGTACTCAATTTGGCCGAAAGTTGTTTGCTGAATAGAGTGTTTTTTGACGACTTTTGTTTTTAACACCTTTTCATAGTAATCCTGATGTTATAGATATTGACTTTATGGATGATGAATAAACATTTTGTCTACGGGTTAAGATCTTATCAGTGATTTTTCCGTACAACTAGCGCAGTGGAGTGTAAAACGTCTAAGTTTATTTCCTGACCATTTTGTTTAGGTATGAGTTGAGTATCTATCTATATTTCCTTTATCAATGGTCACACCTTAGAAGATGCTGATTTTTCGCTGGACGGTACCTTATGTGAAATATTTTTCTAGATTCCCAACACGGACGTGGCTAAAAGTATGAAAGTATTTTGAATATTCTGTCACTTAACGCTAGTTTCATAAAAAATAACCAGGGATCGGTATAGCTACCCGACGACATTGAAAATGTCTAATTATTTATGAAAATTTATCGTGCGTCTGCGGCGTCGAAAGGCTGAAAAAGTATTAATACAATCAAACGCGAAACGATATCGAGTCGTAATAATACTACTAGAACGCCCCGTGTTAATTATTGATAATTACCTACGCGTGAAATCCACGCGTATTCGCGCTTTAATCATACTTTATACGCATAACATGCACACACGATAATAAACCAGTAAATTCATTCTGTTCTCTAACCTACCTACAGTAAAAGCTCAACTATATTAAACAAAAACTGCATTACGCATACGTCACCGCATACATCGATTACAGTTATTTTTTGACGTAGATGTATATAGTATACATTATAGTCAGTGTCAGTCAGTTAATATTTGGGCAAACAGAGGGTATGTACTTTGAAAATGTATTATTCTTAGACCAGTGTTTGTGTTGAAGAAATTTTCACAGGGTATATCCGGTTTAAAAGCCGAATATTTCAGGAAAAAAATTCAGTACAAGTGACTTTGAAAAAAATTTTCGGATGAGTGTCCGGGACTTGGAAGAATAATTCCAATATAATTGACGAACTATTCAATGTAGCAATACAAACTATTATAAATCACTATAAATCACGTATTACATAGGAATCGTTAACTAATTACAATTTTCGACGTGAAAATAATTGCCCAAATCATAACTAAAAAAAAATAGGTGGACGTACTTTTTACCACCGGTAATAAGTTACTGTAGCAGGTGCGAAGTTTAAAAGGTATGAGATGTAGGGTAATTTAATACCTAAGACAAAAGTAAATTGTTCAAAAATTGGATTTTGAACGGAGTAATTAGGTTAAATGATAACGCATATTCAAAGAGTATTAATGACATCAACACGTATCTACACAGTTTACTGAGTGAACTATTGTAGGACGGTTTTGCATCCGAAAATTCTTTTAATACACCGAGTATTTATTAAATTGTATTTAATGTATATACACAATACATCATTATTCAAATTATTTTGGAAAACATTTCAAATCCATTAAATAAAAACACTTTATTAATACTGTTTCTGATATGTGGAATTGTAAAACAATGTTTGTAATTACGTGTTGTCATGATATTCAGTGTTTTCTTTCTTCTCAACAATATTGGTATTGATATTGTTATAAGTGCAGCGATTAGTAATGTGCTTTTTTCCATTGAAATCAAGGTAATCCTAAAATAAACAAAAACACACCTGATACATGGACATTTGTTGTGGATTTTTTTAAATTGTGTAGAAAACCATTCAGTTAATTAGATATTTGTTTCAAAAAAGTACCACAGGGCTAAAAACTCGCATCTCTAACGAATCTTTAGGAAGTATTTTATTTGAAAAAAAAAAACACGTACATGGCTAAAATTAATTAAGATTCTTTACTTCACATCCAAAACTAATTCCGTCGATGGCTAAATAGAATTGTAAACGTATTTTTTTAACGGCTACTTAATAATGTCTCGTATGTTTTCCTTTTTTATTTACGAACGTTTCACTTTAATTAATCTAAAATTAGTTAATGCATTAAAAAAGATACCTCATGTTTAGCTCATTATTTATTGGTAATAAAGTGTCTTTACTAATGTTGTAACGAGGTATTAATTAATTTTGCTAAAAATGATTATCTACTTATATAATATTATATATGTATAAATAATTATTTATGTGTGAAAAAACAATCAAGATATACATTAATTATAATATTAACGCCTGAAAAACACGACATCGTCGATAATACGTCCAAAATTAATAATAAAAAAAAAAATAAAAAAAAAAATGGTTAAATTTTCGTTTAATTAGGTATTCGAAAACGGATAATGGTAATCTAAACAGTTTTAAAACGAATGTTTTAAAATTAATAATCACGTTACGATACGAATAATTTATTGTCGATCGATAGCTGCACGGTTTATTATATTCAAAAGATAAAAAAAAAAAAAAATGATATATGGACATTAGTATTCTTTTAATTTAAAACCGTCCATGTGGGGAGTAAACGAAAGGGGAAATGTATTATGTGTGTCCATTTTTCGAAATAATACCAGGTTAGAACTTAACGAGGCGTTATAAAAATTAAAGTCTGGCATGTCCAGTAACTATGTGCGAGTGAGACACGAATAACTACAAAAAATAACATTATTCTAGATGAAAATCTTACGAATGATATTTGGCCCGAAATTGAAAATATCCGGTGGAACGGCTATAGTAGTAGGAACGACGAAGAGCAAGTGTATTAGTAGGGCAAGACATATATTTATACGGTCGCAGTGGGCACAATATCAGAAAATTCGAGAGGCAATAAAACGAATCTCTAGTGGGACTATAGGACGGTTAAACAAATTATGGGGAAAAGTTAGTAGTGATCCGTATATGATAGAAGATATATATCAGAGAGCCATACGCTAGTAAGCCCCGCTAAGCTTATTAATACTGCGACTGTAATGCTATCTATCGCCGTTAAGATAACACCATCTTTCATCGTGTGTATGTAGTAAAATGTTTTATCTATTGCATATAAATTATGAAGTCACAATCAACAAAACGGGTCAATCATATCATATTTTGATGGAAACAAATGTATTCATTGTAGAATTTGCTAAATGCGTATGTAAAGTTTTATAATATTCGTAGCAGACCAACACTTGAATTCGTTTACGTTCTAAAACTTTTGGATGGAACGGAGATATTTTGAATATTTGTATTATTGGATTATACGAATTAACCGTTAATTGGGTTTTTTATATATAAATATGAACACACTATATAATATTATATAAAAAGTTTTTTTTTATTTATCGGTAACTTGATTGCAGACAAAATTCCAATTATAAAAGGAAAATCAAACAAATGTGTAAAAAAAAAAATATACACGTAAATAAACGACATTATAAAAATAATCTAAGTAAACTATTTGCTATTGGACTAGATGCTAAGTTTTCTATTTCTTGAAGTCATGACCGTATGAGCCGTGACCGAAAGAAGACAGACCCGCTCCGTATCCGTATCCTAGAGATCCGCCGTAAAGACTTTTGGAGCCGAAAGATGAACCGTAGCCGATGGCAGGAGCTGCGTGGCCGAAGCTCGGAACAGCTCCGTAACCAATGGCAGAAGTGGCATGACCGAAACTCGAAGCACCGCTGTAACCTATGCCAGAAGTCTCAAATCCAGAACCGTAACCGGAATAACCGGAAGCGAACGCTGGAGCGGCCACTGCAGCAAAGGCAGGTTGGGGTGCTGGTACTACGACTGGCGTGGCAACCGGTACCGGGACTCTTTTAACTACCGGCACGGCGTAAGGTCTGGATACGGGCACGGGCACATCATGGACCACCGGGACCGGGTAAGGTGAGGCAACTGGATGGGGAACTGGTCTATCGACTGCGTATGGAACGGGCCTTTCGACTGGTACTGGGTATGGGGCAGGTACGTGCACTGGGTACGGGCTATCGACCTTGTAGGGCACCGGGTGTGGTACAGGAACGGCTACATCGTGTTGCACGGGCACTGGGTATGGAACGGACACAGGTCGGGCATGACGGTTGATGATGTGCACCTCCTTGGAGACCGGAACGAGAGGTCCGGTTGTTGGGGCTGGAGCGGCAACGGTTTCCACGCTTTCGTATCCGGCACCGTATCTAAGACCACCGGAGTAGCCTAAGCCTGCAGCAGAGTATGATCCTAAACCGGACGATAGTCCCAAACCGGAACCGTATTTCAAACTTGAGCTGTAACCCAGACCGGAGCCGTAGCCCAAATCAGAGCTGTAGCCCAGACCAGAGCTGTAGCCCAGACTGGAACCATAGCCTAGACCGGAACTGTAACCCAGACCGGAACTGTAACCCAGACCGGAGCCGTAGCCAAAACTGGATCCGTAGCCAAGACCGCCTAAACTCCTCTTTCCTTGTTTCGTCGTCTTTTCGTTGGATCCGCTGGCCCTGACGAGGGCTACGGCAGCCAATGTGAAAACAGCTACTCCCTGTAATCGTAAAAGAATACGTTGTACATAAGTCAAACTAAAATAAAACTATAATAATCTATCTAGTGGTATTATATTGAAAAAAATAATATTAATATAATACATAAAACGATATCGTAAAATCCGACCTGTGACGAAAATGTGGAATGACACACTGGGTAATAATGGAATTTTTTGAAAGGAGAGTACTACGACACAATTTTAATTTATACGAGTGTCGAGTGAGAATATAGTTCGTGAGAAGTGAACCAGTTGTTACGATAACGAAATATTAGTTTTGATATTATTCGAAAAGAGAGATCCGCGTGAACGAAATAAAAGGCCTAAAAGTCCCTACTGTGGGATTTAAATACCGAAAGACTAAGACGTTTAAATACTATTATACTCACGAATCGCATGATGAATGAGTATGTTGTTTGTCGATGGTTGTTACTCGGTCGACTGATAATTAATCGGATCGGCCGATCTACTTTATATACTCGCACAAAATCTCGCGCTGTGGTGTTAGTCACTGGTCGACGCCCCCTGGGAATTCAGCACCGGTGTAGGGGAGACGAGTCGTGGCTATAAGGTCCGAGGACCGGTATCGGATATCGGTACCTATACCGATTATTGTGTCATCGATTGTAATCCCGGCGAATGACAAAATCTCGAATATATTAAACGTATATTATTTGATCATCATGCGTGTCGTCCTCGGACCGCGTAACTTTTTTTCGCCATATCGAATAACGCAACACCAACATTCCATATAAATAATGTAAACAAAAAAAAAAAATACAAATACAAATACAAACAAACAAAACATGTTTAAATTTCGATTATGTACATTTAAATATGCACGGTTCAATAATATAATTTGAACGTGGGAATGTTGGGGGTGTTCGCTGATAGTGGACTATTCGGGTATGGCGGTATATTGTGGTGATCGGATAATATTTAAATAATTTAAATAATATTTACACACCCATAAACAATATTATGGATCCGTATTATGGGAATCGGCGAATTTGACAATAAATGTATAATTATTGCGGCCTTGAAACCGTTTTTATGTAATATTAAATGTGAATCCGTCGATCGTATTATGTTACGAAATTATGTAAAGGGCACGGATTTATAAATGCTCTAAAAACTCTAGAAAAACGCTATAAAAAAAAAAAAAACAAACAAATAAAAAACATCTTTTAAAAATGTCCCAAAAAAGTATTTTACCCAGCCAATAATAATATTCGAAAAATGCCCAAATTTGTTAGATTCTGAGTACAACGAGGAATGAATTTGAGTATTTTACAGAGTTATACATTCAAATTAAAACTAAAATTTAATGTTATCATCGGAATTTTGCTGTGATTTTAAAAATAAATAATAAGCTTTTAAATTATTCATTGGAAAATGTAATAGAATAGATCAGTGGAAATTTACATACCACCTGTCATCTTAAAATGTCTAACCAAAGATAATATAATATTTTTATATTATCTATGATCTTAATTTTATACGACTATGGATTCAGTTAATATGCATTTCTCTGGAGTATACGTAACCATACGATTGCCACAAAATGGACCAAAATTATAATTCAGAATCTTTAAAATTATTATACATCTCAAGGACCAATTTTTGAAAACTACCAAAAACATTTATCTAGATAAAAAAAATAAAATTTTGTTCAACACCTACCACAAATAAAACAAAGTACTTAATGTGTATCAGATGTGGTACATATTAAGATTTTGCATAAAGGTTGCATGGTCGATGCATTTTAAATAGGTACTCAATATTTAATTCTTAGATTCTGAGTGGAGCGAGGAAGGCATTGGTTTTACAGTGGTGTTTATTTTTTTTTTTTGTAACATTTCTACCAACAGTTTTGCTCCGAATTTGAAGTGTAGTACTTTGTCTGAATGGAAATTTAACTGGGGTGGTTTTACCAGTGGTTTTTATAATAAATGGAAAAAACCAGGAAAATTATAGGAAAAACGAGAAAATGTACGAACTGTATTATTTTTTCATATCGTAAATCTTACGATCTTTTAAAACATGCGTAACCGAACTCCGCTCAGAATCGTTTTTTGTTAATAAAGATTAATCGTTGCGTACAGATATACATCAAATACCCTTCTATATCCTACCTTCCCAACTTCTCACCAACAACAGTGACCCAATCATCGTGGCCATATGTCCGTTTTATTAAAACATATTAATATGAAATTAATATTTTACGTATTATTTATATTAAATAAATATATTATGGTTTAAACAAATGTATCAATTAAATTATTTATTTCTGAAATCAGCTTATTTCAAATTTATCTAGTTAAGATAAAAATGTAAAAATAAACCCATTCAGATAAAAAAAAAAAAAATCGCTGAAAATTATATATACGTTTTGACAGTCGGTTCATCTCGAACCGACTGTCGACATATCGAGCGTTTATTCTACACCCATACAATCGAACATCAAACTCGAAAATATTATATATTCAAACATTGCCTATATTTCGGATAGCCGTTCGTCATTAGCTATTAATAATCTTATTGACAGTGCGTCCGGATCGGAACTTGTTCCGAGAGTGATTCAATTATCCGGCGGCGATAGGTATGATGAGAGACATTCGTGTTTCACACTGATCGGATATAGTAATGAACGCGAACGATATTCGTATTATTACTTTCTAATAAACATTTTTCAATAGCATACCCATACGTGGACATTTTTCATAATTTTAGAAAAGGCTGACATTTTAGAATACTTTAATGCATATCAAAGTCGCTCTCTGCGCGTGCAAAAATCATTTATCTTTAACACCGTGAAAAACTTAAGTGCGATTTATTTCAGACATCCTACACTGGCTACACAATACATAAACGAGTATATAATATGTATATTATGTGTAATGTTAGCATTTTCAAACTATTTCATTAATCTTGACTCAAGATAGGATAAATGAACATTTGATTAATCACCAAAATAATTTAAGCAACATCAATTAAGTCAATTTCAATTACGAAATTTAAACTTAACAATTTTATTGGATAATATTATTATGCGAATTACTACGGAAAACCACAGTCACAACCCGCCTGTTACATTCAAGTATATAATATTATAAATTATTTACTTTAAAATAACATATTTATTCATAGACAGATTTTTTTTTTTTGTGTAAAATTCTTATTTTTTTTATTCGCATGTCAACTATATTTTAATTGAAAGTTACTGTATACAGAACCTACACATTTACAGTAGTAACTAGTGACCATTGATCACTTTGTATACCTAATTGAGGCTAATTTCTCTGTTTATTATACGATTTCGAGGGAGCTTAGCTACATCAATCCACTCCCCCCTTAAGCCCTAATTTCTGTCTATGGCTGCATACACTCGTTGTATATTTTTTTAAATTTATGATAATACGATACGTATTACATGCGAATGTGTGTAAAAACAAAACACCGAGGGATCGGTGATAAAATTTCCGTTTTACAGAAGTTTATGATGTGTTCAGCAAAGCCAACGCTGTGACAAAAAAAAAAAAATCGACGGAGAGATGTGATATTAACAATTTTTAAACATCATCGATACATACATTTACATTCGTATTATTTCGTTCTTTGATATCCGACACATTTTCCGATAATAATATTATTATAATGATAGTTACGAAAAAAATTAAAAAAAAAAAAAAAAAAGAAATAATATTAGTTTTGCCGAATTTAATATTGTATTATCGTTTAATTACTGGCTAAGTTGTTTAAATGTCTTCGTCAAAGGGTGTGTTACTCCCACAACCCCCGTGCATTCTGGCCACGTAAACACGAGTGCAAGTCTTAAAAAAACAAAATATGCGTGACCATTACGATTTTCCTTAAAAAAATGTTTTACCGTAAAATTTTACCTACTCGCCATCAGTCACTCCGCAGAAGAGTTCAAGAGTTGTCAGCCTTTTCGTGGGAGATTTTGCAACGGACGTGGTTTTCATATAATTATATTGTTAGTGTTATCACAGGAATTTCGGTTTCGCCGGGTAGTTAATATTGTTATGATGCCGGTGGTTTATATAATATTACGCCATCATTCTGCGGTGTTTAAAAACGTTTTTCAAAGCAAATGTTATCTCTCCGGTTTACTCGATGAACTCATTATACTACTATAACCACTATTTCTACATAAACGGCGGTAAATGTCATCCGGTCAAGTTCGGACGGTATCGCGTTTACATAGAATACAATACAGTTGTATTAGAACAATTTCTAAAAAAAAAAAAAAAAAAATATACATGCATAAATAATATTTTATGTTGTTCAGTCGTTATGCGATTTCACAAAACGTCTACGCGTATACAAGGTGTCGTCACACGCGGCGATATGAAAAACGCAATCAATTTTATTCTGTTCGATATTTTTAAGTTTTTGTGTTTTAAATTTAATCTGGAACAAATTTACGGTGATACAAATGTCTACTATTATTGTTAATTTTCCAATAAGATGTTTGAAGTTACCTTAATATAATTTTCATCGCCGTTACTAAATAAAATATACATTTTTCAATGAAAAAGTACTCATAATGATACGATTATATTTTTTATTACACAGTTATTATTTATAGTAACGGGCTAGTGGAAATGTAATTTAATTTACATTTTTGTAAACTTCAAAAAAAAAAAAAAAAAAAAAAAAAAAAAAAAAAAAACAGAAAATTAACATTTGTAACACACGGCTTATTTCGTTTCAAAATGAATTTATCGAATTATATTGGTTAATATAAAAAGAAAAAAATAATTATTAACATTTTTTTTTTATTTTTAGTTTTAAACGAAAAATTATACATAAAAATCGTAATGTAAGAATATATGTATAAGGGGTAATTATTATCGGACACTATAATATAGTTGAAACTATCTAACGGTACGAAAGTTAGATTGCAATTGTTAGATTTCCGCGGGACACTCTGTACATTATACCGCTGCAGTATCTATTATTTTGGCATAAGATTTCTGTTATCTTTATCATTATTTCTTCCGACGACGACAATAATATTATAAGCACTTCCGGCATTTACTCGCAGATATTCGCATTACTGAAACATCAAAGCTTCGGCAAAATACGTAACAAAAAGTACCTACTATATTATTATTATACTCGTGTACCATCGTTTATTGAGTCGATGGATATTTATTACCTATTTATAAATACGTTCGTTACGCATTTCGTTTGATGATAATGTAACATACATATATATTAGGTATATATATATGGGTTTAATAGAGTTTTTTTTCGTGTCGAACGAGAACAAACTCGTTGCTATTATTTTATTTTTTTCTTTATCGATTTTAATTTGAATTCTTCACGTTCCTCTGTCCGATAATCGCAACGGGTAGCCATATATCTCTTAACTATTGTCCAGAAGCTCTAGAATAATATTACGTTTGCCTACAAAGAAATCCGGATTCACGACTAAAAACGTAAATGAAATGTTAGCTTTTTTTTACCCTGTAAAGAGATAGTAAATAAACGGTCAATTAA